AAGATTTAGCAGAGGTAGATTATGTTTTTCAAATCTGACAACTGGATGACAAAGAATATGCGGCCAAGGAGAGTTAGCTACAATGGGCTAATGGCTTACCTGATTCCTTTCCAGGGAGAAATAGCACAAGCCACATCCTGTACACCGGTCTTCATAAAATGTGTCTGCCCATCGGAATCAGTTAATCATGCCTGTCAGGAGTGGACATGGCTGCTGTGGAGGAAACAGCAGCCTCATCCCTTGTGACTGAAGACTCCTTCGCCACATAGGTTAATAAGCGGGAAGTTGAGTCTACAGAGCATGTAGTATTCCTAGAGTGTTTCCTAACCCCGACATTTTTATGTCACCCAGCTAACTGCTATATATTGTTGATGCAAACCTTTAGGCCTTTGCTAGGGTCTGGTACCACTCATTACCCAAAGGAAGAGACAACTAGCAAAGTAGAACTTGGATAATAGTTCCGAATATTCACACCTTTTGTCTCACTTAGCAATAGCCAGAAGCAGCTATCTGTAATAATATATATTCCCCTCTTCAGTCTGGGCTATATAGGGCCCACTGTGGGGTCCTACTCAAAAGCAAACAAAAAAGAAAAAAGAGGGTTGTGGAGATAACTCTACAGTCTCAGTGCCTGCCTGGTAAATGCAGGGTCCCAGGTTCGATCCCCAGTACCACATGCCATGCCGGCCATGGAAACTGGGCTTGGTGGTGCTCACCTGTAATCCCAGCACTGAGAAGGCTGACACAGGAGGATCACTGTGCGTCTGAACTGTGCAGCAAGACCCTGTAGCAAATAAATAAATAAACATAATATTTTTTTAAAAAGCAAACTCCTCCTTTATTGAGATCTTCACTGGTTCTCTATGTCTATAGAAGTGGTCACCAAACTGTTTTGGTCAATCACCCATCAGTAAACAATTCTCTTTGTTTATATACCTATATTTCTTATGTGTATATAGTAAGTACATATATTTATTTATTTTATACACATTTATTAATTACCAATATATTATAGAACATATGCAAAATTAAACTTTCAAAAGACTGAAATATAGATGAAGCAAGCAAAAACTTAAAATATCTTTTTCATTACAATGTTTTATACTATCAGCTAATACCTTAGCATACAATAAATAAGGCAAGATGCATGATAAATGATATAAAAATTAAATCTTTATGTCTTTTTTGTTGTTTTTTTTTATTTTTTGCAGTACTGGGGATCGAACTCAGGACCTTGAGCTTGCTAAGAGTTTTCTTGAAAGAAATCTTAACTGTTTTGTTTGACTTCCTGTCACATATGAATGTTTGATCATTGTTTCCAACCTGTCATACAGCCAGAGAACCTGTTCTAAGTGAAATGTCAGTGCTACCATTCCTACCATTTGCCTGTGCTTATATTACTACTATTATCTTTAAACTGTTCTTTCCAGGCCGGGATACTTCTAAAGCATGTGTCCACTTTGGATGTATGATATTAAAGTAGCTCTATCCGGTGAGTCAGAAACATGTCGATTGTAGTGACTCAAGCTTTGTTGAAAGCTCTAGGGGACATCACTGTTGTCTCCTCTGCAGTTTGTAACTCCTAGTCTTGCTGTAGGATATGGTGTGAACTGTGTGTGACACATGATCAGGGATGGTATAAAAGTTCCATTTAGATTTTTTAAATTTCAAGTTCCAATAATTTCTGCCTGAACCCTTCCTGATCAGTGTGTGTAACTGTGGGACACCTATTCTATTTGAAGACCAATGGTCGACCAGATGGCTTTCAAGAGTAGTCGTGCCCTCCAGGATGCTTTTCCATCTGACTTCAACCTGTCTTTTCCACCTAACATCCCATTGTTCCCTGTTTTCTGTTGCTTCTTTGATTGATTGATTGATTGATTGATTGATTGATTGATTTTGGTGGAACTGGGGATTGAACTCAGATCCCTGCACTTGCCAGGGAAGCGCTTATTCTACTGAGCCATCTCCCTAGCCCCACTTATATTGTTTTAAATTCTAGCAGTTTTGGAGGAAAGTTATATCTAGATTATTTTAATCCTTCGTCTCCTCAGTTGATTCTTCCTTATATTTGCCCTTTGCCTTTCCCACTTATCAGGACTTGGCTTTCTGTTGAAGGATCTTTTTGCAGTCTTTGTCTAGATTTAGCCTAGCAACAATGACTCTCTGGGGTGAGTGCCCACATGGACAGTCGTTTCCTTCCCTTTCCTGCCATACTGTTCAATGGAGATGCCATATTCTTTCCCATAAATCTGGACTGTTTTGTCAGTTTGCCAACCTTTATCATATCCTTGCACAAGCTGAACTTCATCATTATTTTAGAAGAGCATGAATCTAATATTTTATTCCTGTCTTAGCTCCTTGTTTTTTTATTTATTTGCTTGTTTGTTCATTGTGGTACCAGAGATCAAACTTGGGAACTTGTGCTTGCCAGGCAGGTGCTTCTGCCACTGAGCTATTTCCTGGCCCAGCTCTTTAAGAAAGAGAGATGACAATCTTGCAAACAGAGAAAGGTGCATTGACATACTTTATCGCTCTTGCTTTGGTCAGAAGTCACCGCAGCACTGAACTTCATTATGGCCACTGCCATTTCATCAGCGATGTCCACAGAATGGAAGAGTGCTTGTTTCTTCTTCTACATGAAATACTCTTTAGCATCTCCTTTCCTTTGTACTTACTGTCCCAGTCACCTGGAATGCTGCTCTCTGTTCTCTCCATTAGCCCAAGTCAAATCTTCAAAAGACTTGATCTCCTTAAGCCGGTGGTCACCAAGCTTTTTTTACAAAAAGACAGAAAATGAATAGTTTAAGTTCTGCAGTCTGTACTGCCTCTCTCACAGCTACCCAGTTCTACACCTATCCTGCAAACTCAGACACTGACATGTGCAAACAAATAAGCATTGCTATGTTCCAACAAAATTTTCTTTACAAAACTAGGTGACGAGCTCAATATGGCACTAGGACTATCATTTATCAGCCACTGCTCTAAAGCCTTGTCACTCTTTATTGGCTTCCTTGTGGCTTTTCTCCTCAATTGTCTGTACATAAGCACCTTTTTTCCAAAGGACTGAATTTCTTGAAATCAAGAACTCTTCTTCTTGCTTCCAAGAAGCTAGATGGCTGGAAAATAGAAGCTGTTCCATAAAGGGATTTTTATTGAATATCTAGAATAATCACTATGCCCCTAATAGAAAAATGGAGAGAAATCTTTCTTTGGGAAAAGACTGAAAGACCCACTCCTAGCATCCAAAATGAAAGGTTGTGATAATCTCAACAAATGAGATGAAGGGATTTGGCTTGAGTTTAAACTAGGCCTTCTAAAAGGGCAGCTGGTACCCTCTCACCTGACTACCCTTTTCATCTCCCTGCAGTTTCAATAAAATCTACAGAATTACCTCCTTTTCAGTCATGCAGCCACCACTGAAGCTAATTCGTCCCTATATTTGTATAGTCCTCTATGATTTTTCAAAGCAAGTAACACAATTCCTATTGTGTAGACCTGGCAACTGATGAACACCGAGTGACGTGCCCCGTGACTGATACATCTGGGACTTCTGATTCCCAACCTTTTCATTATACCAGACGCTTCTCAGGCAATTAGAACAAAACGATACTGTGCAAGATGAAGCCAATGAGTAAATTAATCCCATTTGAAATTCCAAGGAGACCCTGGGACAAATGTGTATCTGAATTTCAATGGTGTTTGGTAGAATCGGCCCCGTGGTTGTGTAGACACCCTGCCAACTTTGCACAAGATACGTAAACCTCAAAGACAGTTTCACTAACCTTCATTTATCTTGGAAATGCAAAAATTTACACTAGCACTTGGCTCAAAGGAAGAGATTCACACCAGCCCTGTAGTCCTACTCCTCTTAGAAAACGTTACCTCGTTGTTTTGTTGGGCTGTGAAGGCTGCCTCTTGCCTCCGCCTCTGCACAGTGGCTGCCAGGGGGCGGTTCATATGGACTCCGAAGCAAGGGCATCACAGCCGCTTCTGCCAACCTCTGCACTGTGTTCCTTGGAAATCTCCTCCTCGGCTTGGGCGTGACCCAACCCACTTAGAAGGAGAGAGCAACTTTACAGCCCCGTGTGGAGTGACTCCAAGCCAGCCATACCTATTTCCAAATGATCTGGCACAGCGAGCAGATCGTGTTTCTTCCGAGGCTTGGCCGAGAACAGTGGGTCTGGCAACACTGAACCAGCATGGATCAAATGGGACTGTCAAGAAAAATCTGAAGTGGCCTCTAAGGAAGAAGGACCGATGAGACGTTCAGGTCAGGAGTGAGATGCTTTCTGTCAACATTAAGAAAAGAAGATTAGGTGTCTATGTGTGAAATCCAAAGGCGCAGACAATGAAATAGAGAAACAGACTGGCACATGCCCAGTACTTTCTGAGAGCTGGCACCCAGCCTAAAGTGACTCACAAAATCTACATCTTGTTTTTATTCTGACCTTTAATCAAACTTTTTATTGGAATTTTTTATGATTGGTTACCTGTCCACCTGACTGCCACCCTACCAAAGGAGGCAGGGACTCTGATCGTGTGTGCCAGAGACCAACAGAGCCCTGTGCTCATTTATTATGGTCTCAGAGAACCGTGATTACGGGGTTCCAGAAATGGGATGTGGGAACAACACAGAAGCTGGGTTTCACTTAAGGTCTTTGGCAAGAAATAAATACCCCATTGCTAAGATGAAAATAGTATTGGTTCTTCACAGACCATTTGCAGGGAGAAGCTGAGCCCTAGAACCCACTCCCAAGCCAGATGACTTTCTGCTTGAGGATAAAAGCAGATCTTGAGCATCAGATTCCACACATACAAGACTGATTGGCCATTCCCTGCTTTGGTTGCGCAGAGCTATGTTCAAAGGTGAAGACACAGTGACAGCGTTGGGCTCTCTGAGGCTTTCTCTTGAACAAGAACACATGTGTTTCTGGCTGTCCACTTGGCAGTGGATGCCTTCGTAATTCTTTGCTCCTACATAGTATGGCCATAGGAGTTAGCAGGAAACAGTCTAAAAAGAACAGCTGTCATTTCCCTTTGCTTTGTGCCTTTCATGGTCAACTCAACTGGCCTGTTTGAGGCATTTGCTGTGTCCAGCATTTTCTCAGAATATAGCAAGACTTGCCTTGCCCCAACTGCCTTAGTAATCTGTCAAGAAAGACAGTTTTGTAAGCACCTGTGGCAGAAATAGTGGCAGAAACACTACAGAAGGCCCTTGTCAAAAAGAAGCCCTCTGAGGGCGTGCCCACAAGGGAGCCCCACCCACCACTCATCCATCCATACACTGATGCCTAAATCTTTCTACTCTGCTTGCTATTTGCAGGGAATGAGGGGTTTGGGATTGAAAGAGAACAGGGAGTATGGGAAAGGGGCTTGGGAGGTGGGAGGCAGGCTGGGCCACATGGGCAAAGGCTTTGCTTGCCAGGCCAAGCTAGACTTCGCTCTGTAGGCACAAAGATCCTCCTTAGCACTTTCTGAAGGTGGTGGCACAGGTAGCTACCCCACCCCAATAAAAGTCTTATGAAAGGGAAGAATAAAAATGGCAGGAAGATTTTGTGAGTTGTTTTAGGCTTGCTCTCAGAAGAATAATGGGCATGTGCCAATCTGCTTCTCCACATCGCTGTGGATCACCCTATAACTCAGAAGTATTTCGTATCTGTTTTATGCTTATTTTCTGTCTAGTTCCCCAGGGGAAACATGAACCCCATGAAGACAGGAACCCTGTTGGTCATCATCACTGTTGTGTTCTTAGTTTTAAGCACAAAATCAGGCATAAAGTAAGCCTTCAACAAATAGTTCCAGAATAAATAATCTTTCTATGTTCATTGTCTCCAGATGGTAGAGGAAGGAGATGGAGAACTAGGAGATCCCACCGGAGGGATTTGTAGTGACAGAGAGGTGCCAAGATCTGAATCCAGGGCAATGGTGGCCCAGATGAAAAGGAGGAAGGATTAAGGGTAACTCCTGGGGTTAGCTCTGACAAGTGTTAGTGAGGGAAGGGGAAAAGGTCAGCATGACTTTAAGGTTTTCCTTTGGATGTCTGAGTGGCTGGTGATACTGTTGACTAAAGGGCCGGGGAGATGGCTCAGTAGGATAAGTGCTTGACTGATATTGTTGACTAAGAGGAAAGGCAGGGAAGGAACACAAGAAGGGGCTGTCATGGGACGCAAGGGAGCATAGATAACCAGATCAATTTGGGGCCTGTGTGACCCGACACAACTGTACAATGTCCAACCAGAGATGTCCAGGAGACAGTTGGAAATATGTGTGGGCCATTGAGGAAAATGGCTTGGATCACAGGGTTTTGGTGATAAATGAAACCAGAAGAGGGTAAGGTCACTCAAGGAATGCAGATAGAGTTGGAAGAAAAAACAGGAGCCCAAACCTAAGGAAATACCATTTGATGGAGGAGTGTCCAAAAGGAGCCAGGGAAGGAGACAGAAGGTGAGATCTGAGAGGGAGGAAGAGGAGGAGGAGGAGAGGTGAGGGCCTCTGGCTGCCTGGAGAAGAGGTTACAACAAGGGTCAATAAGTGGAGTTCTTAGGTGAGTCGTACCACCAGTAATGGGAAGCTCTTGGCTATTCCAGGCCTTTGAGAAAAGCAGAACACACAGGTGGGCTTTCTCCTCCCCTTCCTAGAGGGCATAGCCAGGTCTAGCTGAGTGCTGAATGGCCTGCCTGTTTAAGGATGCCCTCAATTTGAAACCACCACCACCTCCTGCATCTCCTCATCTCCTACCCAAGGATCGCCACACTGTGGGAGCTGGCTTCAGTCTCCCACAGGATTACTATAGGCGGCTCCTGGCTCCAGTTCTCTCAGAGGAGATGTTTCTTCTGGGGGTGGTTTACATGGTAGTGCAGGTCTCAGCCTCTTTCATGATTAACCTGTTTTCTCAGCACCCTCTGCCACATCCAATCCTCTTGCTAGGACAGTGAGCTCACCCTGCCTTCCCTCCTGCCCCCCCCCCTTCATTTCCTGTCCTCCAGCTCAGGCCAGAGATTTTTGTACTTATTCTAATCCCAAAAATTCCATAGAAATGACAGAGAAACTTAAAGGGAGGCTGTTACACAACACAGAGATCTTTGAGTGAAGGTAGAAGAGTGGGATCCAGCTGCCCCTCTCACAGCAGAGCTCTGGAGCTCATGAGTCTGTTGTGAAGCACAGAGGCAGAAGAAGGGTTCTGCCCTCCTCCTCTGACTCTCCTCAGGGTGAGCCTAGGGGTCACCAGTCTCCACCCTCTTTCCCGAGGAGTCCTTCCTCTCTAGGAGGGAGAGAACAGGCCAGGCACAGAGTGTTGGGACCCCCTGACACTGAACAGTCTCCCTTCTGGAGTCTGTCTCCTACAGAGTGAAGTCACTCAGACCTTCAGACCCTGTTTATGAATGCAGTCATTTAGGCTGCATAGGCTAAGCAGGGGTCCCTGAGGAAAAAGCCCTTTGGGAGGGGGACTATCAAGACATGGTGTCGCCTACTGAAGGAGTCTAGGGCAAAACTCCACTAGAGACCGCCGTTTCCCATACACACAGGAAATTCAGCGACCTCGGGGTTTCTTCCTGGAGAGTCCAGGAAGAGGGTAGAGGCCAGAGAGGCAGGAACTTGCAAAGACTTGGCATCCCTGTCCCCCTGCTCCCACCTGCCCAGGCGGTGGGTAAATCTCGTCCTTCATAACCCTGCCGGGCCATCCTGTCCCCTAACCCCGTGGCTCCCGGATCCCCGGTGCCCTGCCGAGCCTTGCCCAGCCCTGCCCGAGCGTACTTGAGCTAGGGCTCGTGAGTCAGGCCTATTCATCTGGTTTAGAGCTCGGCTGGGCTGCAGATGCTGGGAGGACGGTAATTTTAGACTCCCTGATTGGAAAGGCTTGCGGGCGGGTGGGCGGGCAGGCGGGGGGAGGAGAGCAATTTGATTCACTGGTTGGAGCTGGTTCTGAGCGGCTCGGCCTCCCTCCGTGCGCCCCTCTTCTCGAGTCCAGGCCCCTCCGGGTTGCTCGGTGTTTGTCCTGCCCGGAAGCGAGCAGACGGCGTGGCAGTCCCTGTGTGCTTGCCCTGGACCATCAGGGCCTAAGGCCTCCGAGGCGCAAGGGGTTGGGATTCTGCGGCGAAAGACAACGCCGAGGACAGGGCAGATGGCCTAGATTACCCAACCCCCAACTCCAATCCCCACCCCAGGGCCGTGAGTGAGGAACCAGTGCCGACTGGAGGCGGCCTGAGGCCTCTGACCTCTTCTCATCCTACTAGTTTTTCCGTTCTCCCTCTCCTGACCTCCACCGTGGGGGACCTTTGCTCCCCCAGGCTTTGCGGCCGCTCCCAGAGCCCTCAACCAATCCCTCCCCAACCCCCGTGGTGCCAGAAGACCCAATTCGCATTTGATTACAGCCCCTTCCCCACCCCCACCCCTCTATCAAATCCCCCGGGAGTGACTCGGGCTGACGTTTCAAGTTCTGTGAGTCTGGCGCGAACTGAAAATTCCGAACTCCACAGCTCAGGCCCTTCCGAAGCCACCAGAGATGTGTCCAGCTGCCCGTCCACCTTCCAGCACAGTCCCAACTCCAAGGCTCCGGACTGAGTCAGACTTGGAACCACCCCGGCGTTCAAGTCCCTGTGCTCATGCGTGGAACAGGGAACTCAAATTTCTTTGTGCCTCAAATCCTCATTTGAGGAAGGAGAAATACTTGCGTCAAGTCACAGCAAATCACAGGTCCTGGTAAACACAAGACTATTAGCTCATCTCTGGGGTTTAGTTTCTGCCCTGGGCACAATTTTATAAAACAGGATCCCAGTAGAAGGAAAGATCTGATAGGTTTTTCTTTTTTCCTCTTGCTACTAAGTCCTGGAAGAAAGCCACAGGGAAATCCTGGAATCCCTGCTGCATGATGTTGAGCTGCTGTTTGGTTGCCTCTGGTGACCAGAAACTTGCCACCTACAAAGCAGCCTAGTAAAACTTCGGCTGGCTCTGTCCTTTGTTTAATAACTCTATCGCTGCAGGTTTTGCTGCTGTCCACCATTTCCGGGGTGGCCTTGGACCTGTGAGTAGGCTCAGGATAACCCAGAGAGAGTGGCGCTTGCCCTGCTACAGGCCAAGACCTAAGGGGACTCCTGCAGGGATGCCAAGTGCAGCACCGTTCTCACCTCCCCCAGCAGATGTGTCTGTGACCCCTTCAGGCCTCAGGGTGCTCCGTCCCTGTACGTAGCTCCATGGTGCTCCCTTCTGACCAGGGCAGTGCCCGCCACCAAACACTCGCATTTGTTTATTTGTCCTGCTGGATATGAACCCAAGGACATTTTATTACTTT